TAATATGAATAAGTGCTAGTTATATATTTCATTTGATTTGCAAAGGAACCATTACTATAACCCAAAAGTACACTCACATATAAACTGCCATAATTGGCAACAACTAAATCCAACAGACCATCATTGTTGAGATCACCTGCAGCCAAAGATTGTGGATAATAGCCAGTTGTATATTTTTTTTGTTTTGCAAATGATCCATTGCCATATCCGAGAAAAATGCTGACACTTCCGTCGTCATAATTGGCAACAGCTAGATCTAAATAACTATCATTATTGAAGTTATTCACGGCTACACCATATGGTGAAGCACCAGTTGAATATGTTTTTTGTTTTGCGAAAGACCCATTCCCATTTCCAAGAAGCACACTTATTGAATTATTATAATAATTAGCAGCAACTAAATCCAGTTTACCATCATTATTAAAATCACCAAGAGCTACTGTCATTGGTGAATATCCAGTTGAATAATATTTGGATAACGAAAATCCTTCGAAGTAACCCTCGAGAATATCCATGCTATTAGTCTCATTGTTAACAACGATAACATCTAATCGTTTGTCTTTGTTGAAATCACATATAGCAAAAGAGATCGATGACGTCGATCCAGTTGAATTCATTCTTGCATCAGAAAAACTACCGTTTCCATATCCGAGAAGTAGACCTGTATTATTAGCACCAATAGTAATAATGAATATGTCTAAATGATTATCTTGATTGAAGTCACCAACACCAATTGAGTATGGTGAGCCAGAATTTATGGAATATTGCATTTGATTTGTAAACGTTCCATTACCATTGCTTAAATATATACCGATTGTATTTGTTCCATGATTTGCAACAGCGATATCAACAAGCGTATCATCATTGAAATTACCAACAGCTATTGATATTGGGTGAGAACCATAACCGGTTGAAATAGTTATCTGTTTTTCAACAGTACCATTCTTAGCATTAAGAAATAAACCAATATTGTTTGTTCCATAATTTGCAATAGCAATATCTATATAATTATCATTATTAAAATCACCAACAGCTAATGCATATGAAAGGGAATCGTAACCTGTTGAATACATTGTTGGATTCGAAAACATTCCATTTTCATAACCATAAAAAATACTTATACTATTAGTTCCAAAATTGACAGTGACAATATCAAGTACTGTATCATTATTGAAATCAACTAAACTAATTGATATTGGACGTGATGTATTTGTTGACAAATCTAGTTGATTCACAAAAGATCCATTTCCATACCCAAGAAATATACGAATGGTATTTGTGCCAAAGTTTGCAACTGCAATGTCTAATCGAGAATCATTGTTAAGATTACCAACTGCAACCATATAAGGATTGGAACCTAAACCAGTTGAATATTCGATCTGTTTGACAAACGTACCATTTTCATAACCAAAATAGATACCGATATTGTTAACAATCGAATTGGCAACTACCATATCTATCCAAGTGTCATTGTTGAAATCACCAACAGCAACAGATCGTGGACCATAGTTATATTCAATTGGATTCGTGGCTGTTTGTGAAATACTGAATTTACATTTTTGTCCTAAAAAATACAATAGAAATTATCAAATATCTGGAACTAAATTCAATTAGTAGATATCGTCACACTGAGACTTATCATGAGATTATTTCTTGCTGTAGTGATTTAAATGCTATAAGAACTTACCATGTGATTTTGGGGAAGTAAAACAAACGATTAAGATGCCAGTTGTCATTACAATACATGTAAATATAAAAAATCCCATAGCACCAACGGTTGAACCTGATATTGTCCAGTGATAACATTTTCTGAAACAATGCATCAATATTATGTCTAAGATTACAATAATAAAAACGACTTACAGATCCCATGACGAAATTGATGTTGTAACCTGATCTATGGTATCATTGCCATCTACTGTTGGTTCTTGTGTATTCAAACCTAATTGTAAGTTTTCTTCACCATCAGTAGACGATTGTTGTATAGCAATCGAACCTTCAGTTGATCTTGTATCATTATTGATACAAACCAGTTCAATCTGAATGAAGACAACATGAATAATTAATCTCGAAAAATAAATAAAAATCATTGATTTTTCATGTATTACTTCATGTAAGACTATATAATGTTGCTAACGACTAGTACGACTCTTTTATTTATTATGATATCCTATATATCAATTTCGTCATCAATTACAATTACTACTGTTCAAAATATACTGTCTAATTTTTACTAGATGGTTCTCAAGTGATCTATTATCTACATTCTTTGTTGCTAATATCTTTTAAACAATTTATTTACTTCTTCTAACAGTAATTGTTTCTTACCTGATTTATGTCCGATTCCATCGTTCACTTGTATCTATATATACAAGTATTCGATCAATCAAACAAACAATTTGCTTTGATATCAACGCCTTGTCTTGTATAGATAGCTGTTGCAAACTATTTTGAGAAAAGAAAAGAAAAGAAAAGAAAATTAGTTAATATTTTTTATTAATGATGAATTTATCCAATGATTTGAATATAATAACTATCTTTTGTTTCTTCAACTCTAATGCATACTCGCTCATTACAATGTATTTGTTGCAATTACTATGAATCTGTTTGTGAGCTACTAGTTTGGGTTCTCACTAGTACATATAATATGTATAATTCAAAAGAACAATTTTTTTAAAGTAAGAATCTGTAATAATAAAATATTTCAGTAAAATACTGTAGAAATAACATAATAGTAATTACCCCTTCAGTAATGTTCACGACGATTGAAGTAAAGAAGTAATAAATGCTTAAGCGAATGACACGAATATAAACGAATATGACCAAACAATAAGAGAAAAATGCAAAAAACACACTTCTATATACCTCTGTAATTGCAATGATCATTCATGCATGGACTAGTTTTCTGCTTTATCTTAACGAAAATATACGCAGCGTAATACGAAGAGTGCGCATGTAACGGTTGATTTTTAATCGTACATATAAGAAGAACTAACAAATGTAATAGTCTAATTACCAATCATAGAAGCGTACATTTGCTTCGTTCTTCTATTACAACGATCAATGAAGCATTTGCTACTTTTCTTTCAATTCAAATAGAACAGAATTATACAAAAAACAGAAGAGTGTACGTAGAGAATGATTTTGTTTGTCGTCCACGTGATAAATATTATCTTTACTGTTATAGGTGAAGAAAAAGAATAAGAAATATGTATTAGGAAATTTTGTCGTATCAACAGAATATATTAAATCAGTTTTAATTTATTTGTTATATATGTAAAGATGATTTGGTCATATTTTGTAAGATTTGAAAAAAAGAACAACAATGTAGAACGTGTTCCAAACGTCTGCCGAAAAATTTAATTTAAGTATCTTTTATGCAACCCAAGTGATTTACATGAACTTTTCATCATTTCATAGGATATTCTCTGAAATTTTATTTTATACGTATGAAATAAAACAATACCCTCAAAATTCAATTCTAATTAGTCTTTTATTAATTTATTTTTTTTAGTAAAAACGATCTGTTTTAAAATTTTTATTTTTTCTTTGTTTAAGGAGAAATTATTAAATATAATTCAATCATTATTAGTCATCTATCTGATTAAGTTTTTGGAACTATGTTCAATAATGTTTTCTTTTCTAAGTTAATTAATAGTTTTAACTATTATTTTGATATTATTATGTATAAATCTACTTTTTCATCAAGTAATATCGATTAGTTAATTTATATAATTTTTCTAGTATGCGTACCGTATTCAAATATGTGCTTTAATCTTTCGAAAAGTAAATCAACAATAACTGATTATATATTCATAAAAAAATTACACTGTTTTTCAAGTTACTCATTTTTTTAACAGTTTTTAGTTAACTCAGGGGAATAAATTATTATAAATAATTATTTATTTAAGGTTGGAGAGCCCCTCTGAAAAATCAATTTATCGGAAAAAAACCATTTTAAGATTTATACATATTCTGATAGTCCTTGTAACGAAGTTTCCATTCTTAATTTTTGCTAGAAAATGAGACGAAAATCAAATAATGAAACTTATGTATTTTAATTTAATCACTATATTGTACAGCTCTTTTTGTCAAACAAAAATATAAAAAGTATTATTAGCATTGCGTTTTTTGAGTTATTATAAAGCACTATTTATTACTGAACAGTATATATTGAGAAAAAATCTCTCCAAAAACAATTATGCTAGATTGTAGTTCGTTACGAAGACTATTAGAATATGTTTAAATTTCGACGTCATTCATTTTTCGAAAAATTGACTTCTCTAAGAGGAAGCTTCGAAAGAGATGATTTCTTTATGCTGTAATGTTAAGAAAAAGAATATATGCTTTTTTTTGACAAATTAAAGAGATCACAAAAGAAATCTATTATTTAGACAACTAAACAGTTAATAATTATATATTGAATTTTTGTTTTTATATCATCTATGAATCTTTGTATGGCAAATGCCAACGATTCATCATCATCCATTTGATCTATATGTTGTTGTTGAAAACATTCTTTATCAACAATATATTGTTTAATAAATTAAAATGGTTGTTGTACAATCAAGTTCATTGGTCAATTGAATCAGCTGCATTAATTGTAAATGGAAAATTTCGAGATGAACATTTATACCTTGGACTTTTCGGGTGATATAATTCATGGTGTATTGGAATTTTTTACTTTTGGATTATGATGAATTATGGATTGCCTGCCGCTATTTGTTCGCATGCTTTCTACGATTTTATCATTTTCTTTATGTATTACACATATGGTATTCTTTGTCGACATGATACCATTACAACAACATCAACATCGTATCCTAACCTTAAAGAGATTGCTGAATTTCAAATATTTATTTATTTAATTCAGTACAACATGCACTGAAACTAAGCAACAGAATGGCATGGTCTTAAGTCATACATATATTTCTGAATCATTCACATACAACCCGGATTCCCGAGTTATTTGTATAGAATCAAGTTTTCTTGTTTTCTCTTGATCTTTCAAGTATATATACATGTATATTAACATTATAGAACAAGGTATCTTTTATATATATCATCGTCAAATATAATTGTCTCTATTAACTTTTGGAACATAGCAAGATAATGTACTCCTTTTACTGTTGTATAAATGTAACTTTTCTTTTCAAAATAATAAGATGAAGACAATATTCAGATTATATCAGCATTTTTTCATCTTCTGATTGATAATTCAAGTTATTTGAAATATTTTGTGATGAGAAGTAACAGTGTAAAGGATCTGTCCCTTAATTAAAGATAAAATACTGATAAAAACTAATAAATAAGAAAACAAAATCTACAATATAAAATGAAGTGTTTGCCTTTAATAAAACTCGAAATATCTATATCTTTATCTCAAGATGATATTATAATTGTTTCGATGAGTAATCCTTCGTCGTGTAGGCATAGTGCATGTTGCATAAAAAATATCGAAATCTAGAATTTCTACTCTGTAATACTCTATCGTTTATTATCAGCATAACTAGATCATACGTGTCGCTTTACTAATTATTGAACAGATGACAATTTATCTCGTTACTCGTTCTATGATATTCAGTAAAACAAACTTCCTCGTTCATACAATGATCAACAACCAAAGAGTAAAAAGATGAACAACTGATGAAATACATTAGTGAATACTCATAAATAGAGAAGTTTTTCTCCTTCATTTGTTTTTTTTAAACATATTTAAATATAATCATCTACAAATAAATCGTTACATTTTGACAATAGATTGATTCAAATATGAGCAACGACAATAATGTATATTCTTTAAATAATTCTAAATAAAACTTTTTCTTTTTGATTTTCAGTTTTAATCAACTAATAAAAACAATGATGAAGAATCGACTGTTTTACAAACAAGATCGTATGTATCTTCTATACTTTAATTATTCATTAGCACAATAATTCAATTATTTCAGATGTCTATCTATTGGAATTAAAAGATTAATTTTAATTATTGCTATCATATTAACTTTTACTACCATAAAAAAAGCGAAAACAACAAGTTCAACTACTATAACTACAACAACAATAAAATCGACAACATGTATCATTTTTTTCGAAAAGAAAAGCAATAATATTTTGTGTTATCTGCGTCGTTTTAAATGTCCATTTTTAATAGCTCTCTATTTTGTGTTAGAGAATATTTTTAGCCGAATTTGAATAAAAAAATAGATAAAGAAATTGTGAGGGAGCAAAGCAATAATCCTGAGTTCTTCGTGATAATCAATGTTATCTTTTATTAGAATCATGTTCAACCGTCTTTGTTCTGAAGAATTATGGATATTCTATCTTCATGCGTCTAGTTTCTACGGCAATTGCCGACATAAAGGGAGACAACAACGATGATATTATTATCTTAGATTCACAAAGAGCTCATCTGAAGATTTTTTTAAATGTTGCTAGTGGCCAGTTGGCTGAAGAAAAAAATTTTCAACTGGTTTGCACAGCGGCAGATATTTCGACAAGTGATATGAACAATGATCAAAAAGTCGATGTTATCACCACCAAGTATTGGACCCATGCCATTACTATTCTTTATAATACTGGCGATGAAACATTCTATCATCGAGTTATCTCTACAAAGTTATATGGAGCTAATGTTCGAGCAATAAGTGATATTAATAATGATAAAACACTAGATGTTATTATGACAAATTACTCTCCTGGCGAAATCGGTGTTTATTTCAACATAGGAAATGGAACATTTACGAACGAAACAATCTTTCCAAAAAGATTTCTTCCAATGAAGACAAAATCAATGGATATTCATGGTGATGGACAAATGAAAATTATTGCCATAGGTGAAAATGGCAGAGATAGTGTCATCGCCATGCTATTATTTTACTGCTAATTACTTTCACATCATATAACAATATTAACTATCGTCAACTGTTCTGTCGCTTATATTTTTTTGTTTATCTATTATTTTCTCTTTAATTACTTAGGGTGTATCTGTGTCTATGGGTATAGACATTTGAAACATTCTTTCTCACATTTAATTACACCCTCAATTTCGATTTATTTTTGATATAGTGAGCTTTTGCTTGTAAGCATA